ATTTATATTTATTATCTACAGAACTTATCAATTATGTTCATTAATGTATTGCTCCTTAAAATAACTCACTATTCTCTATATATGAGATATATATATATATAGAGAGAGAGAGAGCGAGAGAGAGAGAGAGAGAGCGCAAATCAGTGTAGTAAGATTATATGTGATCATTATTTTATTTCTCATAAAAGAAGCCTTCACCCCAACAAACTGCTTAATTTGATTTATTAATTCATGTTCTATGTTTTAAAACTGTAACTAGACCCAAAATATCTGAACAGATAATTTCAAAATTACTAAGCCAATTTGAATACTAGAGTCAACACAGCATAGTAACAGAGACTTGACTTCATGGATTCATGAAGAGATAGGTTTTTCCCTAGATACTCTGTACTTCAAAACTTAAGTATCAACTTGGCCTTGACATTAATAAACAAGGTAAAGTTTATAAAGAGCTCGGTCTCATCTTCCTGTTCTTTAAAAACTGCAGGAAGTAACATTTTCTTAGCCTTTCACAGCCGGGATACGATGGCTGGTGTGGGTCTTCCGGGCTGTGTGGCCGTGTTCTGGAAGTTTTGTTTCAAACTAAGAAAATGTTGGCTGGTGTGGGTCTTCCGGGCTGTGTGGCCGTGTTCTGGAAGTTTTGTTTCAAACTAAGAAAATGTTGGCTGGTGTGGGTCTTCCGGGCTGTGTGGCCGTGTTCTGGAAGTTTTGTTTCAAACTAAGAAAATGTTGGCTGGTGTGGGTCTTCCGGGCTGTGTGGCCGTGTTCTGGAAGTTTTGTTTCAAACTAAGAAAATGTTGGCTGGTGTGGGTCTTCCGGGCTGTGTGGCCGTGTTCTGGAAGTTTTGTTTCAAACTAAGAAAATGTTGGCTGGTGTGGGTCTTCCGGGCTGTGTGGCCGTGTTCTGGAAGTTTTGTTTCAAACTAAGAAAATGTTGGCTGGTGTGGGTCTTCCGGGCTGTGTGGCCGTGTTCTGGAAGTTTTGTTTCGAAACGTTAGGAAACAAAACTTCCAGAACACGGCCACACAGCCCGGAAGACCCACACCAGCCAACATTTTCTTAGTTTCCAACTATTTTCAAGATAACACCCCACAGAGTACATTATTACTTCTTAAATATAATCATTGTAAGTAAGTTTGTATGTCATAGTTTTGAAGACCATGAAGAGAACTGCAATTGATTATTGTGGTTCTCTTTATAGTATACAAAACTATGACATACAAACTTACTGAAGGGTAAAGTTTGAAATCTATATATTTTCATAAACATAAAACTATATTTTAACGAAGCTATATAAAAATATCCTCATAGCTAGTAATGAAGGAATATAAAGCAGAGGAATCTAAAGGAATGGACTTACTAAATCACTAAATTAAATTTCAGCAGAAACAGAGAATGGACTGGGCTACTAGATGCCATTCTGGCATTCTGAAGCAAGATAGGGATGAATTTGAGTTATACAGATAGCAAACATAACACTCCCATGTAAGAATGAGAAGGAATTTTATTTTAAAAGAAATCTCAAAATATTAATACAGAAAATCAACAATACATAAATGTGGCATCGATAAAGTAAGGCGTCATTTTACCTTCATTCCTGCATCGGAAATCATCTTACATTCTGACAGAATAATCTCCTTAATTTTCCAGTACTTGCCAAGGCTCTCCAAAGCCTATGAACATTTTAAACCAATGTTAGTTTACTAGCATTCTAAGATAAAAATAATTATTATTCTAGAAAATCTCTTTCTCCCCACCACCACCACCCAAAGGCAAAGAAGATTGACCGAATCGCAAAAGATATCATGAAAAGGAAAACGGTCGGCCATGACAGAACACCCAGAATACACTAATCTTTTTTTCAAAGGCAACTAATGTTGCAATATTACTGTAATGAATGGTATGATTTCTTCCAGTAATATTACAACATTATTTGCCTTTGAAAACGATTAATGTATTCTGGACCTGTACGGGTTTAAGATAGATAACCACATCCATTCCCAATTCTTTGCTTTGAGTAAAAGCAAGAATTTAACTTATTAAGCCTCCCTCAAAAAAACTTTAGAAAATACTAAATCAAACTGATTTAGTTTCTCTAAAAACATAATCACAAAACAACATTTTTGATCTTCTCTAAATCATATTTTGGATCATCAAGTTTTCTTTGCAAAAAAAGTATATAGAAAAAATATTTATATAAATTTTAATGAAAAATTTAGCCAAATATATTTGAACCTATAATATTTATGATCTCTGCAGAGAAGCAATATTAAACTTTTGTAAACAAAAACAATATCTTTTTTCCTCTTACATATTTATTTAACCACATTTTATAATTTTATTATTCAGAGTACCAGGACACTAAAACTGCAGATTCAAATGTCTTTTCCTAAATTAATAGCCATATTTCATTTAGTAGTCTAAGAACAAAATTATTGATTATGCTGAAGGATTATTCATATTACATCCTTATTCTCTGCTATTTGTGCCGACATTAAGAAACAGTTGCAGTTATCAAAAACCAAAACAAAGAGAATAGCAACTAAAAGGCAGATAGAAATTGCACAGAAAATATTACAATGATCCACAGAACCCCACAAACATTTGCTTATTCAAGAAGAATGCCTAGAAATACATTTCCAAGCTTCTGGGTCTTCACCTGATCTGTGATACCTATCCGTGAAATATTGATATAGGCTAATGAAGGTATCATTGTCAAAGACTGAATCCCGGCATCATTCACAGCTTGGCAATTAAACAAATTCAAATAAATTAGATGTAGGCACCTAAAGACAGTATAAGAAATCTTGTAATTTTTTTTGTTATTTATGCTATAATACATCTTCTTTGGCATATACATTACAAGTAAGAAAATTAAAGTGGAGCTTAATGAATAATTAATCAAAAGTACAATTCCAAAAGTAGATTACATTAAGATCATCCATGAAACATACAACATGTGACACCAGACAGTTTGGAGCCCAGGTGCCTGATGGAACAACCAGCTGAGTCTATGTCAACCTCAACTTTTAAATCCAAGTACTGCCCTCAATTGGAGAAAGCTGCCGACCCTTTTGAGATATAGGTACAATGTATAGGTATAGTAGGTACAAGGTACATGTCCTACAAGAATGTTTTGCAATGCTTTCTTCCACCTTTGGTATTCCAGGTAGTTAAACATGATATTTCCTAAGACATATTAAAAAAAATCAGCTGTATTGTTTCCATTGGGGGAAAAGCCAGAAATCCATTCCTGAGCGACATTTTATTAGGACTAATCAAATTGACTATGAAAAATAGGAAAGCTTTTGAATTTTCCATTGGATAAAAGCAAAAAAGTCTACTTTTTTTGTGTGTGTGATGGTGATGGTGGAACAGGCCATTTTTAAACGTTTATTTTAAAACATTTAAGGAACAAAATAAATAACTGCATAAAAGAAAAGAGAAGAAAGTGTAAAGGAAAGTACAGAGTGGATGGAAAATAAAATATCAGTAAATAAACAAAGAACTTACAATTGTCATAACATTTAAAATTCATTATTTCATTGATTAAATAATTGAACATATTAAAAAATCTAGTTGTTGTTTAGCTTTTTGCAACTCTTTCATCACTTTCCTTTTGGGGTTATTTGTATGTATCTGTTCTAATTCTCTTATTTCTCCTTCCAATTGTGCTTTCGGTCTGTTATACTGCTGTTTCTGTTCTGCTGCACGTTTTATGAAAAGTTCTCTCATGTAAGCTTTCCTTGTCTCCCAAATGATTGACTCTGAAATTCCTGGTGTTTTATTTGTCTTGAAAGAAAAAGTAATAATTCCTCTTTGCATTTCCCTAAGTAGCAGCCTGTCATTCATGTTCCATTTAAAGGGCAACTTTTCTTCAAGATACCACATTATTAAAATTGGATTGTGTTATAGGAAGAACCTGTACTTCTTTGATGGATGATGTTAGGGTCTTAGAAACCCAACATATATCAGTTCTGGAGTATGATTTGTGTCTTGCTGGAATATGTGTGTGTGTGTGTGTGTGTGTGTGTGAGAGAGAGAGAGAGAGTGTGTGTGTGTATACACACACACACACATACAAATACACATACAAAATCCCTTTTGGATTTTGTAGCCCCCATGCATCTATCAGTGCCAATTCATCAATATATTGAAAGACTTTGGAGAAGCTTCCCTTTCATCCCTTGGAATGAAGGTCTACTTTTTTGAGGGTTTAATTCCCTCCAACTGCTAGTATTACTAAACAATCTGTTTTGATTAATTAAATATAACTCAGTTTAAAATCCTGAATTACATTTTGGCTTTGTTTATGTGGGGTCCATGCTACTTTGCTCTTCTGCTGTGCGACACTAAGGCATCTTTGTGGGCTACCAGTGAAGCCTCATGGAATCACATATTGTTTAATGTTTTCATAGCTAGAGAGAGAGGCTGTTTTGTTTAAAACTTGTGATTAGTGTGAATGATGCCAGAGCCATGTGAATGGCCTTCATTCAGTCTGTTGCTTCCATCCTGGGACTGATTCAAAACTAAATTTCTTATAGCTTTAAACCCTGAGCCTACTTTGTAGAAATCATTCCCTCTTTCCCACTAGTTAAAAAAAACAAAAGCATTAGTCTTTAGAATAATTCTGGAGAACTCAAAACTTTGAACTCGCTTTTATGTTAACTGGATTATTCCTAATTATTATATTATCACTCCCCAATTATTTTCTGGTATTTTTCCCATGGAGCAAAGCAATATGATTTTTTAACAAGTAAATTAAGTAATGTTTAAGTGCATGGAAGGATATTCTGTTACTGTAAAGTTTCATTGTAATATTATATACCCCTTGAAACTCCTGAATCCCACCCCAAATATGCCCCCACAAATTTCAAGGGGGTTCTCAACATAACACACAAAACCTGTTTTTAAAGCTTTTGTTTAAAAAAAAGTTTAAAACCCATATAAATGGATCATATAATTTGGATCCCAGTGAAAGACTAATTTTTATACTTCAGGTTTTATGCTTATGTTAACTGACTTTTATTTGTGTTGGTATCTAGTATTTTTAAGGATCTTTTCATCATTCTTCTGAGAGAAAAAAACTATATACATAGATTCATCTACACTGAGTCATCTGAAAACCAGCAAAAATATTAATACGATGTATGGAAAACATTTTAAAACTATTTTAGAATATTGGTCGTTCCTTGAACAATTTTTTTAGCTGCCATGTTGCAAACAGTTACTTTTGCCACTTTAGCAACAACAAAAAAAATGCTAAAAACAGAAAACACGAATTATGATTATTATTTATTTCTTTATGACATTTATTATGGCTGCCCACTCCAAAGACTCTGGACGGCTTATAATATATCGAAAAATGCAATTAAAACAGTTAAAAACGTAACAGCAAAACAGAAACGCCCTGACAAAAAACTGCCGTAGCAATCAGAACCAGGACAGGGGCTCACAACGAGACCAACCCCAGGTCTGGGAAGAGAGCCAGATCTCGAGGGCCTTCTGAAACCCCAGGAAAATGGCTGCCTTCTTTATCTCGGGGGGAATGCTATCCGGAGCGCAGGAGCTGCGGCAGAGGATGCCCGGTTCCTCTGTCCCACAAGACAGCGATGTTTAATTGAGGGGACCTGGAATGTACCTGGAGTTGAGATTTAGCCTCCTGAAATGTACAGACAAATGTTCTTGAACATGTGTTAACAAGGAAGTTCCACTGAAATAATGTCCAATTATGTATGCTAATCTTTGGTCTGGGACTCCTAATTTCAGTGACCCAGAGTCACAATTAACTGTTGCTACATTATATTAAAGGGGTATCGGAGTTAGTTAAAATGAGTATTTTCAAACATGCTTCTTTAAACATTCCTGTGCTAAGTATCAGCAAATAAAAAACCTTGCCACCTGGTACCTTTCAGCTACTTTTAGGAGGGCACTGTCAGAGATATAGCAGCAATTAGCCAAAATGAGTTCTTTTAATCTTGGGCCTGAAGGACCGTCGACAAATGATTTTATTCCTGAATCACTGATTCTGAAATATAAATGGAAAATACTTAATTTTACTTTGTTCATGATTCTAAAGTTAAGTTTTAATCATTAGTTCTTGAATGCAAGATGATAAACACTTGAAATATATAGCAATCAATGTCAATCTTCAGAGATATAAATGTCTAAAAGAAATGCTAGCAGGCCAATTTTTATCAATATTTCAAATAATCTTGTCCACTTTATAAACGAAACATGGGACTAACTGGAAATATTTCTGTATGTTAGCTAGATTAGCTTAATTCATATTTATTGAAAACTAACCCCCATTCATTCTAATCACATTTACTTTCAAGGAATTCTATTTAGAATTGCAGCTAAAGCCTGTTTCATTAAATCTTTAAAACAGAGAACAATGTAATAAAATACCATTACATTACAAGTTAATTTCTATGTGCAACAGCTAATTGTTGTTGCAGGAAACCATCAACAGCCAAAATTCAATCAGCACATCAAAAAGTCACTCTGTTGTTATTCTGACTATGCTGGCTACTCCAAATCCTAATTTATTTTATGTGAGAATTCATCAATCACAGCATTTGTCTGATGTCTACCTGGTAGTCTTGCATCTATCGCTTAACTCACTCAGTGGAATTGGTGCCCTGCTTCTGATGAAAGATGGTTCCAAGGATTTAGTCTTAATGTCCTGTTCTGCTGATACACTATTTGTTTATAAAATAATAATTTTATTATCTGCCCTTCATTGTAAAACATCCCCGGGCCAGTGCCTCGGTATATAAAAAGCCAATAAAAGCATTCCCACATCTATTTAAAAACCTGAGAGAAGGGTATGTTTTCACTGAGTATGAAAAACGAAGCAACATCAGCACTGCCAACAGGCTGGCAAGATGTATATCACTGCCACAAAATCCTTTTCATTTTGTTTATGTAGTGCTTACTTGCAGGCAAACAGGTTTGCACATTTTGACTTTATGAGTATCCTTTTTTTCCCCCGACATGGTTGTAATGCAATTACCTCAATACTTTAAAATGAATAAAAATAACGTCGTTACAATGAACAATGCCATCATGTAACTATAACAATACCTTATGCAGCCTGACAAATTGAGTATAACAATATGGTCCAGCGGTCTGATGAGCTTGAGAGCTACATCTGTTATTTTCTGGCAATCAGCTACATAAATATGTTTCATTCCAGGCCAGAATTTGCTCATGACTTTGAAACTTAGATCAGTCACCCGATTACTCCCTGTTGAGACAATACACCAGAATCAGGTCATTCTAACCCAGAATGGAAAACCTGTTTCAGCCACTATATATAGTAGCAACTGGAAAGTGCAACTAAAGTCAAAGGAACGGGAACATTCTTTAAAAAATTGCCAGAATTACTACATTATCACCTACCTTTTATCTTCATTTTAACAAGTTCACACGCATCGAGTGCACTGAGACCTGTGTCAGAAACATGTAGGGATTCGTTGAATTCAATAGACACAATTTTTTTGCACTTTTGAACCAACGCCTTTAAGAGAGGAGGAGATAATTAAATAAACACATGACATCCTTTATTAAAAATGCCTTTTATAAAAATAAATTTCATTTTCTACGCTATTTCATACAAACTAACACGCCCATCCCCACTGCTCAGGCTATTCACCAATTGGAAAATAATGGTTTATCTTCTACTCTTTCTGTCACACCCAGATTACATAGAGTTTCACTGGAGGAAACACAACCTGTTCAGTTTAATTTGGATGAGAATGTTAAGGAATCAAATATAGAAATCCTCCAAGAAGCAGCAATTAGTTGCAGAGGCCATTAACATGAAACAGCTTCTTGAAAAAACCTGGAAGTGAATTTGATAGAAAGCATTCCATACCCCAGCTTTGATCCTGGTATCTTAGGACACCATACCAGTGGAAATATGATGAATTAGGAAGGATTATAAAAGAAAGGGTATCAAAGTCATAAATTCCTTGTTTACTCTTAAGATCGGCAGACCAGTAGTAACTGACAGAAAAGATGTTTAAAAAGGCAAAGTACTGTTCCTAAAGTTTCCAATTTTGCCCTCAAGGATGTTTGGCAACGACCTTCGAAAATGCTGTAAACATGCCCTGGAACTGTTGAACTAATGGTTTAACTAGAACTGAGACAGAGAAGGGGATTTTTGAATGTAGGGCAATCACTCACAGAAAATAACACGGACTGGACTCTCCACTGTTTAAACCTGAAAAAAAGCTGATTAGACCAAAGGCCTGTTTAATGTCCAGCATTCTGTTCCTGCAGGGGTCAAGCAAAGCACAAGAACCATTGCATTCTACTTCTCACGTTTCTCAATAATTGGGATGGAGAAGCACGTGCCTCTGTCTATCGCACAGTGTTGGCAACTTCATCTGCCATTAATTTGCCCAATTCCTTCCTAAAATCCTTCCTTTTAATATAGTGAGTGGAATAGCACACACAAAACTCTCTAAAAACATTTATTGTTTTATTTTCCATTTCTTTCCGGAAGAGTCCCCAGCAGGAAATTTGTCTTTTTACATCAGTCAAACACTGGGTTGATATTTTCATTGAACTATTCCCTCATCCCCAAGAGCCTATTCCTTGTTTCATCATAGTTGGCTCAAATCATACCCATGTGTCTATGGTTAGGATTTTTTGCTCCAATGTGCATCAGTTTACACTGCACCTGCAACATTAAGATTAATTTCCTCAATTTGAAAAGCTCCTTGTCTAGATCAACCTAAGAAATCTGGTGTAGGCAACAGATTTGGCCATCGGGCTGCCCATCTTTAATCAGCAGACTGCTCATACCACCTTTCTATGAAAAAATCCAAAACAGTCCCACCACACAGCCAGGGAAGACCCAGTTTTTACATTCCTCCATTGCAAGTAGTCCTTGTTTAGTGACTGCCTCATACAGCGACCATTCACAATTATGACAGTAATGAACAAGTAACTTTATGACCACTCCTCGTATTTAGGATTTTTGCAGGTCTGTAAAGCAAAGGAAAGCTGAAGTAAGATCATAAGCATAGTCGTGGTTTCACTTATCAACCACTTCGCTTAACAACTGAGTTGCTGATCCTGATTGTGGTCACTAAACGAGGACTACCTGTAATTACTTTCCAGCTGATAGATACATCTGTCCTGTTTAAGAATTACTTCTAAAGAAAACTGTAATACACTTTAGAAAGCCCCAGAAAACAGATTTATTTATATACTGAAATGATTATTTGAGAAGAAAGATAAGTATAGGAGAAAATTATTCCATCAGCAAAGGTGTCTTGTAATGTATCTCTCTGTCTCTGTCTCTGTCGGTCTCTGTCTCTCTCTCTCTCTCTCTCAGAAGAGCAAAATCAAAATGGAAGTCATTTTCTTCTAGAATATTTTTAGTTTGATGAAGTTTTGCTGTGGAATAAATGTATTAATATAAAAACAGCCTTGTTAATAAATGCATAAGTTATTAGCACATGTGATTTTTAATAGACCCAGAAAGGTTCGGCACAAGAGGAATGGAAAATCCGAGTCTCCTGCAGCAGCTTGCCACATTTCTGTGCTAGAAACAAAGGCACATTGAAGCACTCTTTCCAAGTTCTGCCAGCCCCCCCGTTCACCTGCACGGAATTCTATGCATTCAGCTGGCATAACTCTTCATGACTCTCAGGCTAACATTTAAATTCAAGATCATGCAGAAGACTGGTCCTTTCTTACCTGAATACATCTGTCAGTAAGAGTGGGCATTTCATTAACTGTCAGGTACTGGATACCACTGCAACTATTACCAATATTCCTGAAGCCTTCCACTGTAATCTTATTTTGAAAAAAGAAAGAAATTAATCATAAACCATTCATTACAATTATGTTACGATTGCAATGTGTTAAGCAATAACCTGGAAACCAAATATGCAACTAATTGTATCATTTAAAAAAAAAAAGAATTTGTTGCAAATGAAGCTTCAGAAGCAGATATCCTCCTCCCCAATTTTTGCTCAAAATATAATAAAAAACCTGCCAGAGAGAGAATACTCCCCCTATATTTGTCTACTGTATCGGTGAGAAACATTTATGACTCTGGAATCATCAGTTTTCAGGAAGACTGCTCTCTTGTGAGTTCTGTATGATTCCCACCTTCCTGAAACAAAAATTGAGATTCACAAACACTTCCCACGAATTCCCATTTACAGTGGGGCAAAAAAGTATTTAGTCAGCCACCAATTGTGCAAGTTCTCCCACTTAAAAAGATGAGAGAGCCTGTAATTTTCATCATAGGTATACCTCAACTATGAGAGACAAAATGGGGGAAAAAATCCAGAAAATCACATTGTCTGATTTTTAAAGAATTTCTGGCTGTAA